TCACCGCTCCGCCATCCTGACAGCAGGCAGCGCTCCCTCCTGCGCCCCCCTGCTTAGACGGACGGACGAGGGAGCACTGTCATCAGGTCGGTGAACAGGAGAGAAGCCGCCCCAAGGAGGCTTCATTTCCACTCGCCCCCACGCAATTTTCACTCGCAAATTGCGAGGGGGCGAGTGGAAATTTTGAGCCCGACTTACCTAACCAATTGCTAGATATAAGCAAAGCGAGAGTGTATGTGGAAAAAGTATTCCTTTATGGGCATAGTGACACTGCATGAGAAATCCCATCCCCGGATGGGGACGGCAGGGTTAGCTTTTACTTTTCTCTTCATTTTTTTAACTTTTTAAATTTTTATTTATTATTTTTACCTATTTACATTTTTATTTATCTTATCATCTGTTACTTTTTTTTATATAACTTTTATCATCTTTATCTTATTATTTTTTACTTATTTTTTAAAACTTTTTAATCATCTTTTTATTTTAATTATTATTCCATATTATTTTTTACTTGTTTTTTTAATTTTTATTTATTTAATTATTTTTTAAATGTTTATTTAATTTTTTTCTGCTTAAGTTTATTGCTATTACACAGGAGCCAGAACTGCATGTCCCGAGCATTGGGAGATTCCACACCCCTGCTGCCCCTCTACTCCCTGCCGCCCCGAGGCCGGGCCTCGATGGCCCTTGTGGGAAATCCGGCCTGACACCAACTCTATATGCTGAGGGTTTACTGATCATGTAACCTCTGATCGTTAGCTCTTGGTCTCTTCTCCATGTGGAGAGCAAAGGCTGTTAGTCAGTGCTTCCTGCAGGGATTTCCTCCTCCCCTCAATGTATCTTCAGTGCTCACTGAAGCAGAGCGAGCTGTCAATCAGGCAGCCATGTGTATTTCTACCATATTGTCAGGATCCTTCCCCGCTACAACCTGACTCTGCACTCTCGGTATATAACATATGCATTGGTAAATGTACTCTTGTGACCCAAAAGAGAAGTAAAGGCAAAAATAGGTTTGGCTTTACTTTTCTTTTAATTAATTATAGGAGTTTGATTATGATTTAACTCTGGTGGAACTTTGTTGACTGCTTCTGACCGACTGAACAAATTTGCAGGTGTGTCCAAAAAGGGATTCAGATTAATAAAGGATCATTTTTAATAGATTGTTTACATTTATAACTGATAGTTCATATTTTCAATCATTTCAGCTGATCACAAAGTGCAAAACAATACCGTGTGTGTTGTATCATTCATGTTTTAATTATATATTAGCTTCCATACTGACCTCGCCAGAATCAATTATAGCATATTCTTTTGCTCATGTTTTAATCAATGATGACTTGTTTGTGATCGCTTGTTCCAAAATCGATAACAAAGCGCCATGTGTATAACCATCTTTAGTCAGAGTGGCCTTCAGAAAATCAGTGTTAGCTTGTAGATGCTTTGCAGATGCTTGCTTTATGCATTGCTGGCCATACTAGTCTTCATAATCTAAAGCCCATAGGAACAAGAGCTTATCATGAGCTTATCATGAGCTCATCAATCATGGGATGAAAACAGCAGACAGTGGGATCCATGCAAAGATGGAAATAAATAAGGGAGCAGGTTGAAGATGCTCTATGGTACACTTATTTGGCTATATATCTCCAAAGAGTGTGTTTTTACAAAAAATTTTTACGTGCGACTGAACTTTACTATTTACAAACAAATGTAACTAGAGCTAACCTTAACCTTCTTTCAGGTACCAAGGAAACAGCATTCATCTCAGCAGTGACAGCAGCAGGTCTGGTGCATTCTGTGACAAGATCATGCAGTGCTGGCAATATGACGGAATGTTCGTGTGACACAAGTCTTCAGAACGGTGGCTCAGCCAGTGAAGGCTGGCACTGGGGAGGATGTTCAGATGACCTTCAATATGGAATGTGGTTCAGCAGGAAGTTCCTGGACGCCCCTTATAAAAACTCATCTGAGTCCGATATTCTTAGTGCAATGCACCTACATAATAATGAAGTTGGAAGACTGGTATGTATTACTATCTATCTAATTACATTGCAGGATAGGACAAGTACATAATGATGTGTTAAAAATGCTTGTATATCAAGGAAATGCAGATTTGTCCTTCTTTCTGTCCGGCTTGAAAATTAATTATTCATTATTCCTGAGGACAAATAAAATGGTGTCAAGTCAGGCTTGAAAATTCAACCCTCTCTATTCCTGAGGACAAATACAATGATGTCAAGATGAAATTACAGCATTGAATATGAGTAAAATGCTTTTGTATGTGAGAACCATAAAGCTTGACTGACTAATCTGCCCCCACCCCACTTTGCCCATTTACACAGTTTTTATGAGACTCTATATATTTATATATACACTATATTACCAAAAGTATTGGAACGCCTGCCTTTACACGCACATGAACTTTAATGGCATCCCAGTCTTAGTTCGTAGGGTTCAATATTGAGTTGGCCCACCCTTTGCAGCTATAAGAGCTTCATCTCTTCTGGGAAGGCTGTCCACAAGGTTTAGGAGTGTGTCTATTGGAATGTTTGACCATTCTTCTAGAAGCCCACTTGTGAAGTCAGGTACTGATTTTGGAAGAGAAGGCCTGGCTCGCAGTCTCCGCTCTAATTCATCCCAAAGGTGTTCTATAGGGTTCAGGTGCAGGCCAGTCAAGTTCCTCCACACCAAACTCGCTCATCCATGTCTTTATGGACCTTGCTTTGTGGGCTGGTGTGCAGTCATGTTGGAACAGGAAGGGGCCGTTCCCAAACTGTTCCCATAAAGTTGGGAGCATGAAATTGTCCAAAATGTCTTGGTATGCTGATGCCTTAAGAGTTCCCTTCACTGGAACTAAGGGGCCAAGCTCAACCCCTGAAAAACAACCCACCATAATCCCCCCTCCACCGAACTTTACACTTGGCACAATGCAGTCAATGAAGTGCCGTTCTCCTGGCAACCGCCAAACCCAGACACGTCCATCGGATTGCCAGACGAGAAGCGTGATTCGTCACTCCAGAGAACATGACTCCACTTCTCTAGAGTCCAGTGGCGGCATGCTTTACACCACTGGGGGATTCTCATTTTCTTCCTGTCCTGGAGATGTAACAGGAAGTAAAAATAAATCTCTATAAAGAGAAGGGAATTTCTCTCAAGGACAGTCATCTGAACAGGTGTCCCCATTGGAAGATTTATGTTCAGCATCTCCTCTGGTGGCAGCTGTAAAATTATGGGTTTTCCATCACTTTTTGTTTCGGTGACAATTGTCAACAGGACAAATAAAAAGATTAAATGACCTAGCGCAGAGTTAGCAGCCTCAGTTTTCCAGCTGTGGTGAAGCTACAAATCCCATTAGGCATTGCAAGACTCTGACAACCACAGCCATGACTCTGAGAGGCAGACGTTTGGTGGGATTTGTAGTTTTTTTTTCAGCTGCAGTTGCAATGTTTGCTTCCCCTGTCCTAGCAGGCCCACAGACAGCAATAAAGACATTAAAGGGACTCTATTTCTACCCAAAACTAAAAACTATACTTACACTCAAGGAAGGTTTCAGTTATGCAGGTCTAGGTATACTTAGCAGCAGTAGTTAATACCAATTAGCTAGACTTGTACTGTAATGGTAAAGACCTTATCTAAGCAGCTTGTTTAGCTCTAATGAGCATCAGGAACATAATTCAATCACTATGGAGCTAAAGAAGCTGCTTGGATGAGGAGTGAACATTGTCAATATTACAGAACAAGGCCAGTTGAATGTGACTAACTACTAAGTTTAAAAAATAATTTCCTTTAGAGAAACGTGGAGGATGACTTCTCATTCTATAAATTACAGTTGCCTGGCTGTCATGTTGGTCCTCTGGCTTCCAAAATGTTTAGTCATTGAACTAGAACAAGTATGTAGGCACTTTTGACTTTCCTCATATGCATACTTTTTTTAGATCGTTGAGTTATAGTGCCAGAGGATGTCTATAACAGGCATCCACGTAGCATTTCAGAAGAAGGTCCACAATGAGAGCCCACCCATTTCTCTTAGGAAAGGATTACTTTAAGGAAGGGATCTGTCACAAAGCCAATATTTTTAAAGTGTATGTATAACCACAACTATTTTTTTTTGTTTTTGGATAGAGTAGGGAGGGGATAAAACCCCTGCCAAGTCCTTTTTTACTTTCTGTGTATCATTGTGTGTATCAAGTGGGGGTAATTCTCCTCTTAGACAGTCATCCCTAGAAACAAGTGTCCTCATTGGCAGATTTCCCAGGGCACAACTGTAAAATGTTACATTTCCCCTCACCTTCTTTCTCAGTGGCATTGGTCACTAGTACAAATAGGTCCAACCCTTCCAAAGCTAAAGAAAATACACTGCAACAGCGACTAGCTAATATAGCAAGGTATCAAACCTATGAAGGGAAACTATACATGCATATATTTCTGTTGTTTTATAACCACGATTAGTAAAGTTGAGTTGGCACTGGTGGAATAGTGAAGGCTGCAGTGGCTCAAGAGCTGACGTTTAATTATACATATGACTGTATTGTGTCACATGTCAGTTCGTGCATGCAATGAACAGCTTCAAGGTTATATCATGCCAGCTACAATTACAAAGTTTTATACAAAGTCTGTGAAAAATGTTTTATATCATGAAAAAGAAATGATTGCATTTATTGTGTTGTGATGTGTGTGTATGTTACACTGTGTGTGTTCTCCAGGTGCACACCATCGGCTGAGCCTGTGTTATATAAACTGAAGCCAGAACATTTGAAGAAAGCGTTTACACTACACTAGAAATCAACAGATGTGCCTATCTTAGAGACCTGCTAACTTTGATACATTGATTATTATATGTCTTGCTAAAAATGATGAGAATGTTTGGAAGGACATGCATGACACAGAGTGATAAGCACTTATACACTCAGAAATTAAATATCGCTGATTCCTAGTATACATACAGCTTAATTAAAACTTCAGGTTAAATCAGCTAAATACATTCCCAGTGCATCTAAACAAAAGGTGTTTATTGTCTTAGGGCTAGTTGACACCAGCCACAGTACCTTCCGGCCCGATTTTGACAAAGACTATAGACAGGAGACTTATATTTACAGATACAGACTATGATGGGTAAATACAGGCTAGCATTGATGGGCATAGGCTGACAAACAAATGAAGACTATGCCACAAGGACAGAGACTGATGAACATTGACATTAAAAGGTTAATTCTGAAGTAAACTTAGACTTGATGGCGCAAAAACCATCAGATACAGATATATTTTATAAATAGCCAACAATAGCTGGTTGACCCTATAACGTCACCCGCTCTAGCTTTATAGTGCTTGGATGTTGCTAGGACATTACTAATGCTAAGCACTTGTTGTGCCCATACAAGCTAATGAGTTACGCCTTAGCAACTCAAGCTACAATGTGTTCTGGGATATATGGCCCATGAGCAGGTTCATGCCTCGATGATGAAAGACAGTTGAGCACAGATGACCCCCACCCATCCATGAAGAACAGCAACCAGGTGAAGATGATTGGAGCAGTTACATGGCTTCAACTTTTAAGCCAAAAGTATTATTTTAGCTATTTCAAAAATAAGAATTGTTGAACAGTAGCCTTTGAAAGGAGGTGGTTCTGGGCGTATCAGTGTGTTGCTCTCTGGAGTTCTGCTTTAGGGCCTGTTCACACGACGCCCGTTTTGTGTGCTGACCGGATTCCGTAGGCTGCTGCACTCAAAATGCATCCCAATGTATCCCTATATGTTTTATGGGCTACAGTTCTCACGTGCGCAGTCCGTTCAGCTTACGACAGAAAAAATACTGCATGTCACATTTTGTCCGGTCCGGAAACGGTCCGGAAGCGCACGAACACGCACGAAACGCAACGAAAACGGAACGGAAACGCAACGCAATGCAGCTAAGGGGGAAAAAAAAGAAAAAATTGTATTCTTGCTCCACTTATTATGATGTCATCAACGTTGACAAAAAATTAACTGTCAGCATCCTGACCGAAAACGCATCAAAAACGCATCGCATCAGCAGCTCCACGTCTGCTGATCAGGACCTGATCTCATGTGAACAGGCCCTTAGTGAAATTGGCCTGATTTTCCTCAGTAATAGCTGTGAGCAGCAGAGGGAATCACACTATTTAAAGTATCTTTATACAAATTAATCAGTATTCCCTTCTATTTTCTGCGGTGACACCTTGATGGAAGGACCTCCAGTAAATCTGTCAATACAATGCTTTTGAACAGCAAAATCAACTTGACGGATTAACCTCTCGAACTTGACGACATTGCAGGTCTTTTTAATGAGCTAAATCAATGGGTACGGAGTCCTTTGCACAGAGATACTTTAGCTACTGCTAGTTTATTCAGAGAATTCCCTCTGCTATTTGTAATTATTAATGAGGATGTTCTGCCCACCTTCAACCTGCCCCAAACCCATTCTTCCATTTAATACAAGTTATAAAAGTTGTAACACCAAGCTTACAACATTGTCCTGTAAAGTATGTTTCCTTGTCATTAACCTTGTCCCTTGTATTGTAATTCTGTTATGAATAACTGTAATATTGTTATCATTAGAATTAAGCCCACGGCTGACATGGTATACAAAGTGAATCTTAAATTTTGTCTTAAAGGGGATGAATTATTCCATAAAATACATTAAAAATGACTGACAAACACTAACTGGCAGACATTTGCACAATAGAACTGAAGGACATACATAGTTAGTGTTGACACACAAGATGACACATAAGGTCCTAATGTAATCCACGGTAAAGTTAAGCTCTACCTGATACACATCATATATGCATCAGCCATCAATCTATAGAGGACAAATGGCCCACTTTCAGTGGGAAGGGTCTATATTTCAGATTGGTACATAACCTATGAAAACTATTGACAAACAGCATAGTGTGATCTAAGAATGTGCTGTTATATATATATATAAATATAATATATATATATATGAAATCTTGTAAAATGTGCATAATGTTCACTTTCTGTACTCTGCTCATTGTAGACATATATCTCTTTCTTAGGCAGTAGCCAAGCTTATGACAGTGGATTGCCGCTGTCATGGAGTCTCTGGGTCCTGTGCTGTAAAAACATGTTGGAAATCCATGTCTTCATTTGAAAAAATTGGTAGTTACTTGAAGGATAAATATGAAAACAGCATCCAGATATCAGACAGGCTGAAACGAAAGGTCCGAAGGAAAGAGAAGAACCATCGAAAGATTCCCATCAAAAAAGAGGATCTTGTTTACACCAACCGTTCCCCAAACTACTGCGTGGAAGACCAGAAACTGGGCATTTCAGGGACTCATGGGAGGGAATGTAACCGTACTTCCGAAGGACCAGATGGTTGTAATTTACTTTGCTGTGGGAGGGGATATAACACACACGTTGTTAGACATGTGGAAAGATGTGAATGTAAATTTGTGTGGTGCTGCTATGTGCGTTGTAGACGATGTGAGAGTATGACAGATGTCCACACCTGCAAATAAGTATTATGAGATAAACACTAGCTCAGAGACAGATGAACGCCTTGAAGACAGTGACAAAACGCATGTGCTATAATGATTGATATTTCAGCCGTTTTTAACTCTTATTGGTCACTGCTTAAAATAACAATCATTATAGCATATAAATAGGTCTGTAGGTTGAGCACTTTTCTATCAGTGGAAAATAGTCTAATTTCATAGACAAAAAGCTATAGCAATAGATACCTGAAGTTATTCTCTTTGTTTTTAGTGCAGGTATAGGTCACTGCACTGCATAGGGGATGCTTTTAAATATGCCTGGAATTGGATATTTTAGGAGAAAAGATTCCTTCAGCTTTCTTATATTTAGCTTGCAGATGGGTAACATTAAGACATTTATAATTTGATATGTAGAAGATAACTACTGGTTTCCTATATGGTTGTAACAATTCCGGATTTCCTTGTATAGCGCCAGATTTTGCAGATTTGTTTCTGAAAGGTGTTCTAACTCAGAACGGCTCTTTATGAGGCCAAGGGTGCCCATACATAAGAATCTGTCAAATCTGGCCAATCAAGGCATTTTAAACCATAGTTAAACTTCCTGTTTAGGGGGGCTCAACAGAACATATTAAAAAACTAAGCATGTACATAAGCAGAGGTTTCATCCTACAACTTCTTAAAGAACATTCAGCTGTCATAAGGTCATATACGTGTACATTAAGAACACAGCAGAACAGCTAATGAAGATTCAATTCATGGTGCCCTCATTAAGATATATTAAAATCAGCCACACAAGTACAGTTTTGCCACCACTAAAGATAGCATTACC